CTTTTAATACTTAAGTACAAAAAATATCAGATACTTTAAGACTTTTACTTTTCCTAAAGGAGACTTTAACTTTTACCAAAGTAATTTTTTGGTAAGATACTTGTGCTTTTTACTCAAGAATCACTTTGTGGTACTTTATACAACACTGAGCAGAACCCAGTCCAAACATGGTACTTTTAGCTAATATGTTCTTCCRCGTTAACGAGGACATTTACATTATTCACATGATAAGGTACGAGAGTTTCAGTGTTGCTTTATAGAGTGACCCAGGAAACCCWCACCWCAGGGCTTTGAGCCTGCYTGTGTGTGTGTGTGTGTSRKKAKACWCACCCCGTTGTGTGAGGGGCACTCTGTGGTGCTGAGGTGATTGGTTGAAGAGCCTGAGGTGGGTGTGTCCGCCTTCTCCCGTGGACTCATGGGACCCGTGAGCGTGGATTCTTTAGCGTCCTCTGTGAGGTTTGAGGTTCTGTGTCGCAGCACGAAGGCTGGGCCGTCGGCCCTGCTCGTCTCTCCCTCTTCCAGCTTGAAAAATGGGGCTGTCTTCCACCGAGAAGAAGAAAAACCAGCTGGACCTCAAGTTCTGTGGGGTCCGACGCCAAACCTGATGGAGCTTAACAAAAATATGGAAGCTTAAACTCCATGAAAAGTAAACAAAGACAGACGTAAAAGCAAGAGAAGAGGACTAACCTGTCTTTCAGCTGAAGTCCTCGGACTGGACCAAGATTCTGGATCAGGACTTTAGGAGATGGACTGCAGGGAGAAAGGGAGGCAGAAGATTTGTTAGACAGACACTGAAGTCCACTTCAGACAAAGTGTTTCAGATGGTCGTTCCTCTAAAGCAACCGTGTCCGAAGGATAAAGATATTATTGATTAGAGTTTCACTTCCATTACTCTGTTATCTATGGTATCGAGGCATTAAAAGGATGTTTAACAAGACTTGCTGCCATTTGAAGTTGCTTTGCGACATGACGTGTRAAGGACAGGAAGTTGATGTGTTTTCTGCACAGAAATTAGTTTMCTGCAAAGTTTCGTTTTGAAAACAAAATGTGGCAAAAAGGAGGGACATAAGAAGCTTGACTGATCACCATCTGAACTACGACATTTATGAGGGGTGCTTGCTCCACGTACCAAAGCTTTAATATTCTGATACTGGTGAGAAAGACAGCTGCACGGTCTTATCAGCATACTGCCGCTCGCTTTCCTCCTCACCACTAAAAAACACACACACTAAGTGTACACGCACTGTGCTCCAGAGGGGCCACGGCAATGTAAACACATTCCCAAGGTGAGCACCAGACTGCTTCATTTCAAACCCAACCAGTGCCACTGAGGGCTTAGACACAAAAACAAAGATATACAAGGCGTTAAATCATAGATACTCACACCAGCACTTGTATTTTTATCAGAAATTAGGAAGTTTTAATGTTGACAGTGTTTTTAGGAAAATGTTTTACTCTTGTTTTGAGTCAGTTTTAACATTTTCTTWCGTTTGCTGGTTTGAGTCTCTTACCCTGAAAAACAAACACAGACTGTAAGGATGTGTAGCAAAACGATCGGGATAAGCCTGGTAGAGCTCGCCCAGCTCTACAGGACCTGAGTCACATTCTTACTGACCCAACTCATCCTCTTCATCGCCCTTACAGGTTGTTGCCTTTTGCTCGTAGATACACGGTGATAAAARGTAACACAAAAAGATATAAATGTTCATTTGTCCCAGTGAGTGTCGGCCTCATTAATAATTTAGGATAGCCCAAATAAACTGTGGTGGTATATTAATGTACTGTATGCTGTATGAATGCTGTGTTTTTTACTGTTTTTTTTTTCTTCCTCTGTAAGCTTTTGCTGTCTGTAAAGCTAATTGCCCCTCAGGGGCAATAAAGTTTATCTCATCTAATCATAACTGAAGGCATCATCTAAAAATAAAAAAGCAAGTGACAGTTATAAAACCAGCAAGTTTCATAACCGACAGTGACACCATTATATGAAAAGCTTGTAATGACGAATATTAAAATGCAAAAAAATCGGCCAATGAGTAAAAATAAGCACTTCCAAAGAGACTGTCTAATCAATCTTTGTGCACACTTTTCTTGGAAAACTAGCTTTATTTTGCGTCATAACAAAACGGTTACATTTCACAAACGCTTCTTTCCACCAGCGTTGGATTAAGAAACATTTGATGAGTATTTCTGCGGCTGTAGTGAGTTTCCAGAGAAAAAGGCTCTGGTGGCCTCACCGTCACACAAGAACAATAAAACGCTTTCTGACCATCTGAAAAGGTGGGACGGTCTGCTTTTGTGTGGTTTTGCAAAAAACAATGAACGTGGTCGGGGGGGCCAGGAGGCAGAAGGGGTCGAGATTAGTGGCCTCAGGATTGCATCTCTTTTTGTAGATGATGTTTCATCGTACCATGTTCACCAGCTCACACTGGATCCGTTCACAGCTGAAATGAGGATCAGCACCTAATAATCAAAAGGCTGTGGTTCTCAGTCTGAAAAAGGTGGACTGCCCTGTCATTAAAGACAGAGTGAGAAGRTCAATTATCCAGGAGAAAATACCTGCACAAACAGTAGCAAAACAAACTGAACACAACAACCTGGACTGATTAAAACTAAGATTTAAAAAAARGCTGCTTGATGAAGACTAGATATGGTTTAAAAAAAATAATCTCTCAACTGAAATTACCCAAACCAAGTGGGGATTTTCCTTGTTCTCAGTCGACTTCTACTAAGTTTCGTTTCTGAAAGCAGCTGACAGATCTGTCCACAACAGCATGCAGAATGACTCATGAGGTCAAAACGACAACAAACAGAAGAAGTCCTGCAGGAATCACAAACATCCTTATTTTCCCCAAACGACTAAACTAACCAGTGAGTTTACCATCAGCTTTGGTTTCATGTGAGTTAAATATCAGACAATATGAATGAGTCTGTGACAGACAGAGGAATGAACAAAGATAAAAACAGGTGTTGACTACATAAAACAGGCAGATGACCTGCTGCCTGAGCTTGTTCTTGCTTAATCTCCAGATGTGTTCCCTTGAGCTTTGTTTTTTTTTTTTTATTAAAACTATATCTTCAGTTTGCGGCCTTTAAACCTTCCCCTACACAGATAAAACCAAGCTATCATTTTCTACCMCAGTGTTGGCAATGACGTCTGAAAACCAGCGAATTCCACAGAAATTTGACGTTCAGATTAAAAGAATGAAGACGGGTTCATTTACCGGGCACTTCTCTATTTGAGTCAAGCAATGCTACAAATTTAAAAATAAATAAATAAATAAATCTCCAGTTTGGTCTTGGTTCTAACGGTGTCTATTTTTAGTGTATCGTCACCATCTGCATTTCAAGTCACGGCTCGTTTTGGGTCTGATGATTTCAAAGCTTTCCTTGCAGGTGCTGCTATCCAGAGTTTTGTTTTAATTATCTGGTGAAAACATCCTTAAAAAGAGGCTGAAACAAACCCCTGAACACTACAGACTTGTCAGTAAGTACTGAAAAACAAGAAGAAAAAACTGAAAACTAAAACTGGCATAGAGGTGAAAGCTTAAAAAAAGGAAGTGAAATAACGAGTTTCTCCCTAAGAACCCATTTTAGATTAAAAAAATGCTGAGGCAGAACTRGTGACAAATCTGGTCATTTGTGTTTTAGACTACCACAAAAACTAAAAGAAAAATGTGAAATTTGCTTTCGGTAAATTCTGAAACCAACAAATTAAACTTTCAACTTCTGTAAAAATAAAATAATAATAATAATAAAAAGTTTTGGATGAAAAAGGGCAGAAAACATGAGCCAACAAACGACCTCTGCCTTGTGTTGGTTGTCAGATCTCAAAGTATCCTTGAGGAATGCGAGGGCGTTGTGTAACCACACAGACATGTAGGTCACACACAATTCAAAAGTAAACACTTTTTTTTCTCCTCTCGTTCAGAAAGAAGAAAATGTTGGCCAAAGGTCACAGTGAACAGCAGCAGGTACTCTGTTGCAAAAAAAACAAACAGAAAATTTACTTTCAATTTATGTTGACAAAACGCTTCATCAGTCTACTACTCATGCTCATGTTTTAGCTTTTTTACTCAATTCTAAAATGACTGTTATTATGTGTCAAACAGCCTGACTTCTCCTTATTAATGTGTGTTTGCTGTGTGAGTCACCGCCTCAGAAATGGCCTGAAGCCTGTCACCTATACGTCATCACTCTCCCTCACACACAGTCACAACACAAACTGTTACACCAGCTGCAACACATACTTTTCACCAAACCCCACAAAGATCTCAAACCAGTTTGTATGTTTTAACAAAAACAAAGGACATGAAAAAAATGATTAAATAAAAAAAATGCTTTAACAACAAGTCTTTTTATTGTAATTCCTGGTTTATGAAAACATTTATTACATCAGCACGATGCTAAGCTGCTTCCTGTTCTGAAACACGAATTTCTCAAGTCCAACAGGTGCCTGAAACGGTCAGCAGTAACAGCAGTAACAGCAGGTGGAACAGGTTGCACAAGACTAACCATTTGAATTTCAACTAGACGAGTTCACCGTGATGTGTCGGCTCAAAAAAAAAAAAAAAAAAGTTGTGTGAGCAAACGTTTCACACCCTGTAAGTCGTTTAAAACTGACTAAATAAGATAATAAGTGTAGTTAAAAACTAGAATCTTTTAATAACCTTTAACATGTTTTCTGGAGTTCCTTTCAGCTTTCATTTACTGCAGATGTAGAAACTGATTTAATTGTCCAACTCATRAACAGAAGTGACACTTTGACCTTTGACAGCGACACGGCGCTTCTTTCTGATTACATCATTCCAAAAACTTCCGCTCGCTCTCCTCCTCCAACAGATAAAAAACTGCGACAACACTTTTTGGACTTCGCTCTTTGAACAACACCGTAAATATGGACTCTGACCTGATGMCATGTTTTACCAAAAAAAAAAAAATTTAAAAAATCTACGCCTTGAAAGGTCGGGGTTAGTTTGAAGCCACGTAAACACTCAAAATAACTATGATAGATAAAATAAATCAAAGTGTTATTACTAAAAACAACTCTTTCAGTCACCGCAGTCATGGTTTAAAAGGCAGCTAATGCAAATATTGGTTTTAGCTTTACCCGTCTTCAAGTTTCCCTCGGGTGGAGGGTTCCCAGAGTAACGAGCAGCTAGTTTTGCACTTTTTTATCAACGTTAAAACAGCACGCGGTACCATAAAAGTACGAGCCAAGTTGRGTGAGCTCACGGAGTCCTGATACGACGGTGACACTCTCATCCAGCTGCCAGGAGTCTTATGATTGAGAGCGAAACAAAGAGAGACAGTGTGACGAAAACCTCACAAACACACACACTCTGCACAGTAACACACTCTGGACAGACACTGAATGCAACAAATTTAAATGCAAGTCACTATACTGCGATTGAGATGAACGCTTCAACTTTTAGATTTCATTCATATACTTTAAAAATATTTACAAATAATTTCCCCTTAGAAACACATTTAACCTCCCCAATATCTTCTAAAACATTGTTTAGCATACTTAACACCTGTAACTTTTAGCTAGCTTTTAGCTACTTTTGGCTAGTCTGCTGTTATATTTAGCTTTTAGCTGGTGTTCTGATTCTTTTAGCTTTAGCAGATTTTAGCAGTCGGTCTTTTTGTACATGTCTTCTAGATATGGTTGGTTTAACTTTGTTAGCTTAAAGTGAAAACTTTTTTTTTTTACTTTTTGAAGTACTTTTTTAGTGACACAACATAATAACTATTATTGACTCCTACCAAGCAGTTTTATGAGCAATCGTTACGGAAACAGGAGATTTATGGAAAAATTTAATCATGSAGAAAGACACCAACAAACAAAACGCGCTAATTTGAACAAGACTATGTTAAATTTTAGATGACATCACAGTTTAAAGTTGCCTAAATAATAAATAACAAAAATTCTGGGTACAAATTGTTTTAGATCAGATTGTTTTGTTCGTACAGCTTAAAACAGARGACACTGAGGACAAGCAAAGTTCAGATTATAAGACAGAGAAAAGAAAAATATGTGCATTAAACCACCAAAAGCTGCAACAAGGCTGGTGCACTGCTGGTGAAAACCAAATGAAGTGGCTTAAACCATCAAATAGTGGTGTTCGAAAAGTGGGTCAAATGAAAATAAGTGGTGTCAGATGCTGGAAAGAAAAAAAAAGGCTATTAAAAATGTATTTTCCTTTGTGTGTGGACTTAGAAACTGGCTGAATAAAGTCATTATTTTTTAAAATACTGAAAAAAAATATTGTATATATAACTTAACTTTCGCTAACAGCTGCCAACTGGGGAGACAATCGTGTTTGTTGCCCTCATTAATGAATTAGCTCAAGTTACATCTTGGTGTTAAGAGTCACTGTCACGAGCTGCAACATGAAGCAGCTCATTATGCTTCTTTATTAAACAAAAAGCATAATACTAAATGCTTTAAAATCAATAAAACTTATTTAGYGTTCTTTCAATAATAAGACACGGGATTTACAAATACATAAAATCAATAACTGAACATGTTGCACTATGATCGTTTGACATATTTTCGTAAAAGTGTCTAATTTCAAAACATCACTTTATTTGCTGTAGCTTCTAAATATTCACCCAAAGTGTCGAAAAACACAAGTTTTGGCTTTAAGTGTTTGAAGATGATTATTGTGCCAGTTATGTTTTTGTCTGAGCATACAAAGTGTTGTACGTGCAAACATCCTTAAGCAACATTATTCTTTAGCTAGAGCATTTTAAACTAAAATATGTCACCAAACATGTATTTTGACACTTGAAGTGAAACAAAAGCAGATAACAGCTGGAGAATATATTAGAAATGGAGCGCAGCTATTTTCTCTTATGATCAATCGACTTGACAGAGACAGATCTACTATTCTTAGGAGCTAAGTTTAGCTGCTCTCCTGTCTGGCACACTGTCAAAGACTGACTTCATTATACTTCACATTCTCAGTAGAGCTGAACTTCCTGTTAAAAAAAAAAAAAGAAACATGGCAGATTTCTCAGTAACAAAGTTTCGCAGGGTGAGAGTCGGCACACGCATAAACTCAAGCAACGGCTGCGATTGTTAATTATTTAATTGTGTTCGATAAGAAAGAGGAAGTCTCTGAAAAGTTTGAGCTCAAGACAAATTGACTGTTGGCTGCACGGCCCATTAAATATTGATGTGATGACTTCATGCTTTGTGGCAAGAAGAACAGGGTGGTCACATACACAGCTGCACGTCTAGAGGAAAACATCAGGTCAAAACAAAACGAGAAACTAGCCGTTATAAATCRATTTTTAAAAGCCAAAACATCACTTCTGTGTTAGGAATGCTCATAAAAGAGTAACTGTGGCAGCCATGTTGGTCAGTGCTGCCTGCTGCTGATGACTGTTGACAAGTAAGCAACTTTTGGCAAATTACAGTGTCATCGTTGAGTGTTGAGTTAAAACACCAGCTCAACACAAAAATGAACAAATTAAGGTTTTCTTACTAACTTACTGACTATCATATAGAAAAATTCTTAAAAGCCTTTTAATAATCATAGGAGAGAGAAAAACAACATGCAACGGCAATTTAAAAGAAAAAAAAGACAAAACAACTAACTATTCCTCTAAAAAACAAATCAGGGGGTCACAGAAATGTAATCTTTCTAGTCCTTCTTTTACTTTAGGGAACAGATTAGACATGCAAGCACTTCACTTGGTGTATTTGTTCACTTCTTATACACCTCAAGTTAAGCATACAGGAATATCACCTTAAACCATAAAATAAGTGCATCAAATGTTATATTACAAAAAGTTACTGCACGTTCTTGGCATGTGCTGCTGTGTTTTCTGGTGTCACAGGACTGTAAAACACAATACAAATACAAACTATGGGGCAAACAGTGAACATTGTTTGAAATTAAATATTCTAATCCAAACAATCTAAAAAAGTAAACCAATAAAACTTAACAGGAACTTGGTCCAATCTGATGTGTTATTCAAAAAGTTTATCTTTAAATAAAATACGGTAATAACTGTTAAGAGGGGTTATAAATGTAAAACAAAAACTAACAAAAAGCTGAGAAAAACAGACGAGAGTCCGCAGACTTCAACTCAACACTGCCGAGTAACGAGACAAAGAAAAGCCCAAAACTCCAGCCTGACTACCTGACTGAGACAACTCGTTTACTTATAAACACAAAACATCAATAAAATCGGGTTTAAACTGAGTACAATTATTCTGCATGACTATAACTCGCTCTGTTATTGACACAAGCTGTGATACGAGACGAGAAAACAATCCGCAGCTCGTGTTTTACGATAACGAAGATGATTTGTTTACACCGAGCTAGCACGGAGGCTAGTTCGCTAACAGGAGCTGCCACGTCCGAAGCGACAAAAACTCTTTTCAGACAGCTTATCTTCGTGTTGACAGCTGTCCCCGTTGAGCTGTCTGACTTTAAACGTGACAAAAAATGTGTCGACGCGTGTGCCAGRGTGTCGTCGAGAAAGAACTAAGCGGTGTAGATTTAACTCCTGTGTTGTTTTGACAGCTAGAGTTAGCTGCTAACGGTCGGGTTACGTTCAGGGAAGGCGCTAACGCTGAGAAAGTACTGAGTGAGATTTAACAGGCTAAAATACGACATAAAAGCGACAATAACAATCAGCGACGATAAATACGAGTGGTGTTTGTCACCTGTTCTGGGTGTCTGAGGAGAAAACAGCCTCTGGATGATGTAAAACAGTTGACAGAGAGTTGTAGTTTCCAAAACAGCTCCTCGCCAGACCGAGCGGTCACTGAAGTCTCCCCTTCTGCTCCAGACTAGACTCGTCAACGTGGAGGAGGAGCTTATTTGTGACGTTGCTCGCATGAGAGCGAAATGTCCAATCGCATCGGCGGAAGACAAAAAAACCGACCAATCACTGAAGACCAGGAACAGACTGAGTAATGTTTTTGTAGTTTTTAATCAAAAGTAAAGTTTATCATCGTAATAATATTAAATTATTGTGCAACAGCTCGAGTAGAAAACATATCAATTTTGTTGTAAAGCAAACCTTCTGTAAAATAAAAAATGTTTATTCAAGGACGCTGAAATCTGCTGATTGAGGTTTTTTGTTTGAATAGCTCATATCAACACAGTCAGATGGGTGGCATGTCTTTTGGTTTTCGTAACATTTATACTTATTTTATTTGTTTGACAATTTTTTTCACCTTACATGCTTTGAAATATCCCCAYTCACTTCAAAAACATTGATTTCTCTAATCGGCTTCTGTTGTCCTGTTATCTTATGCTTATTATAGATTTTAGCTACAGTTATCCTACTTTTAGGCTTTTTGTTAACTTTTAGCTACATTTATAGTGATAATTTTAGCTTTTAGCTACTTTTACCTTAAAATATACTCTTTTTGGCATTTTTATTTTAGCCAGACCTTATGGTTAGCTTTTTGACACTTTTACCCATTCTCTTACTTCTTTAAGCTTGCAGCTAATTTGTGACAGTTTTATTCAGTTTTTTGCTGCTTTTAGCTTACATTCAACTAATTTTAGCTTTTACCATTTTTAGCCTGCTTTTGCTACTTTTAGCTATACCTGAAATTTACGGTTTTTACCTAATCTTTTGCTACAGTTACAAAATAAATGCAATTTTGCCAGACATTAAAAAATAAATAAAAATAAATGGTTGTTGCAAGGTATAAGTCCTAAACAGTTTAGCTCAGGGTTCATTTAATGTTAATCTAGATAAAAATATATTTTATTATCAAGATTGATAATCTATGCATTCATTAATGCAAAGGAAAAACATGTGTTTGTGTGTTTTGTGGGAACAAATCTAAAATCGAACCCTGAGCACCCTCAGCTGCCTCTCTGCTCGGCAGGTCCAAGATGTGCACTCATACATGTTTTCATGCCAGAACAGACATGAACCCACACCCAAACACGCCATGATTACATTTGGCTCCGACTGGCTGATTGTGCAAATGTAAGTGACTTGCAGTGCAGCTGGGTGTGTTGCTAAACTCTGCTCAGCTCAGCAGAGTTTCATTGATCCGGTTGATCAGGTCCTCGGTCTCACCATTAAACAGGTTCAACAACGTTTTCAACAAGCGAGTCCTTGTTTTCCAGAACAGACCCTAAAACCATCTGATAGAGCTTACGTTGAATTTGAAACATGTTATCTTTGCCAACGAACTGTGCACAAGATGGTATCAGTTGTTATTTTGCTGACAGGTGGTGACATCACCAGAAAACTTTGATTTTTTGCTGTTTTTATAGCGCTCATCACTAACATCTGTAAAGCTAAAATGATTATAATACATTACCAAGCACATAAACAGCCATAATTCAGTCAGTTTTAAAGATACTGAGCTAAAGTTTGGTGTAGTATCTGAGAGTTAAACACTAATTATTATAAGCATGTTTTCATAATGTGATTTGTGACAGAAACTGTGTAGGAAACAAATAAACCTTCAACACTAAGGAACAGGTTCAGTGCTTATTGGACGACGTGGAACTCATCCGTCTCTTCTTTTTGACAAAGTCCACGCTCGTGGTTCGTGGCTCCGTCGACAACTGATAAGTGTCTTGAGGTCTGAGCCGAGGCCCTGTAACCACTAAAGCTGACTGAAACTTTGATTTTTTATCAACGTTACAGTTCCTCAAGGCTACAGTCYCACAAAAACATGTCAGCATTGCCATGAAAATATCTTCTTTTGTTTATTTTACAGACTGACCTCCCTCTCCTTGATAATTATTTAAAAAACAAACGTTTAAACTGATTAGGAAACTTTTAAAATCTTCACTTATAATTTTTTATGTCATCATCTTTAAATAGAATCATCCATTTTAAAATGCTGCAAATYAAAAAAATACAAAAACATGCACAAGTGTTTTTTAATCTAAAAGTTCATTTTTAGTTTATTTATTTATTTTAAAGAAAAGCAGCTGCTGGTGGAAGAGAGGCCTTTAGCTCCACAGACCTTCTGTGAACTTGCTGTGGTGAAAACTGTTGACATAACCTTCATTTTTTTATTACAKCATATTATCAGCTAATGCATTGAAATTTTGTCCTTTTCAGTTTGTGGTCAAATCAATCCAAATCGCAAGTTTTTTTTTTTTTTTTGACAAAATGGATGAAGATGCAATATTTAAACACGCTGTCAGGACAAAGTGCAGCCCTTCAGGAATTTTGTTCAATATATATAAACTGTTGACCTGTCTGTCAGTGGAAATGTCCAGTTTGAAGGGCTCATCTTGCCTGATAAGTTTTCTTTTTATTCCACAAACTGTTTTCCAGCTGCTGATAAAAGTTCGATAACCGGCTCAACATTTAAATGGTTTTATAGTTTCTTCTCTGCATTTATTAAATTTCGCTATTTCAGCTGTTTAAATCATTCAAGACATTAAGATGAATTTGATCCTTTGTAACATTTTGAACTATCTTCACATTTTTAAATAAGTATGTCATAAAATATTGTGCTTTAAAATCGACTTGCTTCATTTAAAGCTATTAGTTTTGCTTATTATAGCTTCTATTTCATTTTAGCTTTTAGCTATTTTTCTAGGTTTTAGCTCATTTTGCCAGGTTCAGGTTTTAGCTATTCAGTTTTTCTGATAATTTTAGCTTTAAACTACAAAGACTGTTTTACTTTTTAGTTACATTTTAATAGATTTCAACTATTACTGTTCAGCTGGTGTTTTAGCTTTTAACACTTTTTTCTTTTAGCTGAGCAAGTTATAATTTGCTCAAATAAGAATTAACTTTGAAAACTTAATTTCAACAATTCAGAGTACAAC